CATGAAGTGTGAGAAAAGTTATCGGAGAACGCTAAAATCAGAAAAATTTGTCTTTTGATGTTCTATGGTGATTTTATAATTGAGCTTGCCTAAAACATGACCAGATTTCTCTGATCACGTTTGTCGCTCTTTCAAACGTCGTTCCGCTTCTCGCCTCGTAGCCCAGTAGCCGAGTTAAAAGAAGCGTGAAAAGCCCACCTCTCGAGTCTCGACTCAACGTGTTACGATAAGGCCATCACCCTGGCGCGGGTTAAGTTGGGGGAGCCTTGAGCCCCAGCAGCTCGCCCTTCTATCTCACTGATATTACCCTCGTCCTCGTCCTGTCTTGTGATGTTATTACAGTGCCATCTTACGATAACGGCCCTTAAATATGATTTAGGGTAACTGTGGGGAAAACGCACCCCTGGGTTAAACGCCTCCCCTAAAAAAATCGTAGATTTTATCGACGGATAGGTGTTTTATCCTGGCTTTTAGAACAGTCAGCTGCTTGTTTACGTAGTTCTCTATTTCCGGTTCTGCATCTTGAGGAGCAGCGTGGGTAGTTGCTGATGTTGGTTTTGGGTGCTGTTTTTGTTGTTTTTACAGAAGATTCCTAAGCTTTTGATGCCCTCTTTATATCACAAAACTTGCTATTGTGCACATCACTCAAAACTGCGTTTTATTGTCATTCTGTTGAATTTATTATGCTGCGGTGTTAGTGGCGCGTTTTTTGTCAATATTTTGTTGACCGGAAATGGAGTGGATGGGGAAAGATGCCTACTCGATGCATGGGGCAAGACGCCCCCAGTTTTCTGAAAGGGGGGTGTTTTGCACGGTGGTGAGAGTGCAGGGTAGCGCCGTGTAGGTCGGGGCCCGAAAAGGCCTCTCCCTATCCTTTTTTGCTGATATATCCTAAACGACTGCAGATATCGTCACCAAACTTTCAGGACTGCTCCGGGCATCCATTTTACACATTGCAACAACATTTTATTCCAAAGGCTATGATAGGTTGACCACAAATGACGTCAGAATGACGTCAAGTTCTGCCATGTTCATCATTTTCTGTTGATGGATGGGGTGGGGGCGCTTTGCACATGGGTGTGGGCGTATTACCCAGGGTGTGGGGCAAAACGCCCTTTTGTAAGGGTATGCGGAAACCTTTTTGGGGGGTTAAATACCACACGCAAGTGTCTTTTCTTGGTCTCAAAGCGTAGTAAAAAGAATGAGCTACATGATGTTGCCCAAAGGTTTGAGTAATCTGGGTTGGGTTGAGTGTCACAAGGTTTCGCGCTTAATGGGGGCGTTTTTGACCTATTCACCCTACTTCTGTTTGATGAAACATGTCGGGCTCCGCGATGAAAAGACTTAAAAACATAGAAGCTCCAAAATGAAAATAAAGTACATTTTCAAGAACTTTTCAAGGTAGATAAGAATAATGAGAGACGCTTTTATAGATGGCAGTTTTTTCGTATGGAGACAGCTTTAGGATTTACAAAAGTGGAAAAAGTTACCCCGGCCGCGCCGGGGTCGGCTGAAAGTTACCCCGGCCACGGCCGGGGTGGCCGGGGCAGGTTCTCCACCCATGCCAATTATAACGATATGATAGTGCCCGTTATTGGCAATGTAGGTGGCAGCACCGTCGACTGCGACTTTTTCGCTGTAACTTCGACCTGCCCGAGCCTCGTCAAATCGCATTTTTACGCAAAACCAACTGCAGGGCTAGTGTTTTGGCATGCTCGCGCCAATTTATATCTTTGTCTAACGCGAATCTGCGACTATCGACACACCCTAATATTAATAGAACACCGTTACAATACCCTTTTTACTTCCTATAGATTTCATTTACAAAATCCTCATCATAGTCTGCACAGGAAGGTTGCAGATGCAGTACCTAACATGGGGTACCGTTAAGAATCTCACTACCAAATCCGGTCACACTATACCGGAAAAAGAGAGCGCCACAACACAACAACACATCACCACAGCGTCTGCTCCACAGTACGTCCCTGAGCGTCTCAGGCGATGACGCAACTTGTCCGCCTACCAGTGCGCATTTCCTCAAACCCGGATTGAAATCAAGTCCGCGTTTTCCCCGTCGGCTAGGATGGCTCCGACGGGTGGTTGGTCGCTGTGCTCCCACGGAGAGAAGACCAAGTCTGTCGCTCTGCAAATGTTCCCGAACAAAGCTGTTCCGGAACACCCCTGTTCCGGTACACAGACCCCCGGCCGGGGGCGGCGGTCGCGCCGGTTCCTGCGCTGAAGTCATCGGCGCGATACCCGCGGGCGGCTATCGAGCGGGCTTCCTCCTCCGCCCCCGGTTCACACCACGACCGCCGCGTGCTCTGAGGTCACTCCTTCCGGCCTCGGACCGTCCTCGTCACCCGTGACCTCTGTCGGTTCCGAGTGGCCCGCAGGCCGACCGGGGCCAATGAGTGGATCGGCCCGGTCACACTGCACTGGACCCGGGGCCGGAGTGGGCCGTGCGCAGTGAACGCAATTTTTTTTTCGGGTGCCGTGAGAAGGACTCGGTAATATACTGGCCGAAATTCACTTTCCGAAAACTGGCAGAAGGTGTAATGTATAAGCGCACCGTACATACAATTATATGTAAACATTGACGTTCTAGTTATCATAACTGCAACCTCGATATTGCTCAGCAAGTCGTCCAGACAACACATTTCGACGCTGTTATTGTGGATCGGATGACACTACAAGAAAGAAACAGTAAAATATTTACGTTCCTTGGTCTAATACAAAGTGACCGTAACCACCGATGGCTCCCAGGTGGCTGTCGTTCAGGGCCCAGCCCCCATTATGCAGTGTTGTGGCGTGTACCACCGGGTGGTCCGATCAGACTGCCGGTTACCTCCAGCCTTGGCCAGCCCCCGGTCCGCCGCGGGGTGCAGTGGGCGGCGGTAGGTATACTGCCGGCTGAGGCCGACCGGGGGAAGCCGGCCGCTGTCTGAGACTGAGGCCGCCGGCACTGTGACACTGTACTGGGGCGGTGCACCCCGGTCCACCAGTGCCGTGGGTGGCGGCACGGTGTGTGGCACGAGTGTCGCAACGGCGCACCGACCGCGCCCGTGCAGACTGCCACCGCGGCGCCGCCGGCTCCCAGGAGGTCACGGGTCAGTCGAGGTCACGCTGCGGTCACGAGTTGGCCACACTGCCATGTGTGAGCGGCCCTGAGTGGGTCCGCACGCAACCAGCACCGCCGGTCGCCGGTCGGCGCGCTGCCGAAATGGGGTTAGCCCGGCGGGAATGTGTGTCAGAGCTGCCACTGGACTCCAGCAGCTGGTGGCGGTGGCCGGTGGTGGCGGGGTCACCGCCGGCCGTGACCCGTGCACGGCCGTCCGCCCGGTCCGCCCCTCTGCAGGCCGCCCAGCGCGCGCCGCGCGGACGTTCCGCCCACCGTCCACGGGCGCGCCCCTCTCCGCGGGCCGTATTTCACGGCCGGCTCTCTGCCCGGCCCGGCGCCGACTACCGGACAGGACGCTCAATGGAGATGACAGGGCAGCGCTGAAGGGTTGGGAGGGCCGCCACCGCACCGCCCACGCCATGCGGCTGTATCTGCCAGTCACTGGGCTCGTATAGATCCGCCCACAAACGTGATCGCTCCTCACATAAGCTAACATGCAAACCAAAATGTGCAGTTAACGTGGGCAATAACCACTGAATATTTGGAATGGCATGCTAATTAGAACTTACATATGCTTATGCCATATGCATTATTATTCGCAGATTAGCCATTTGTGGATAGATTAAGACCGGGCTAAACAAAGCTTGCTGCGCAGGCATCGACCTCTACAGTCCAATCAAGAAATTCCGAAAAGTCTTAAAACTTTAAAGCATGAGTTAGGCGTGCCCACATAGTTCAACCCAGTCAACACTGCTCCTGCTTTTGCCACCTTCAACTGGCTGCGGCTGTCCTTAAGCTCTCGCCTACTATGTAAAGACCAGCCCCAACAGTCCTTCACTGTAACTCGCAGTGCAGTGTGAGGCTTTCGCTCCCCGATTTCAGGAAACTGGTTTGAAACCAGTTGCTTGCTGAGCAATTTCAAGCCTTCCTACGCATCTGTTTTCGTGACCTCTGCATTTGCAGCACGCAACATAACTAGGCACCATCAAAGTGTTGCAATGCACTCTGATCGACCACCTCTGTGAACGTAAGTATTTCTGCATTGTACTCGTATAACGAAAGATCTAGGAAATGAATCATTAAAAAAGCACTGCTCGGTTTACTGAGGTATAGGGTGTGCTTTACAATAAGGAGAGAAGTAAAACATCCGGCTGCACTGTGGTCCAGTATGATCGGTGACATTCAATATCATAAAAGCTAATTTCAAGCTCTCCTGGGCATTTCATGCGACGATGAAGTGTCAGACGATTCACAGTCTGTTCGTCCATTTTCCCGACATGGGTGAATAATGATTGACCGGCTTGGTATCTGCGGTATGCGCGGTATATCCGGTATGCGTGTCTGATGTAGATGCTCACTTCCTCTCTCGCAGGAATGAATGAATGATTTGGCAGGGATTTCTGAAAGGATGAAACACCAAGGTCGACATATTGTGAAAAAAAATATGATAGAATAAGTATATTGGGCACACCAAGACAAACCTGCGACACTTGCAGACTTGCGCTGTTCATTTATTTTGTTGGATTATGTTCTATCGGTCAACTCAAAGTCCCTTTCAGGGTTATGGGATGAGAGAGAATGCTATACGCTGAACCGAAGCCAAATCGAATCAATCATCGACTGGTATCCCAACGTAGCTGAAGCCGTTGCCGTTGGGACGGGAATATCCCGGTAGGACAGGCCGCCCAGCCACTTAATCAATCATTCCAAGGGGCATGTCATTTTCGGTTTTCCCTCGACCACACGGTTCTCTGGTGGGATGACCGTCAGCCCAGAATTTCGGGAAGGCAGGATGAACAAATATGGCAATTGATTGGTTCTTAGGATGTTAAGGGGTCCAGCACAAACCAGCAACACATGCACGCGATCAGTAAACACTCACCGTGCCGGAGTGAAGGACCGCCGTCGATATATCGCGTGACGTCACTGATACGCCGGCGGGTCACAGCGCGCGGCCATGGATCCGGGACCGATCCGTGACGATGTGCGGGTCGCCACGGGCGTCACCTCACGGCACGTCACGGGCGTCACCTTACGGCACGTCACTCCGCGGCGGCCGTCACGTCGGCCGGCACAACCCAAACTGATCCTGCCCCGCCGCCGCCGTCGCCGCCGTCGCTCCCAGTCCCAGCGCGTGGGAGTACCACAAACTGCCGCGGGGCGGCGCAGCAGTCGCGGCGGGCTGCGGAGCTCGCATTGAATTTCTTGAATTTCAAGATGATCTCCGCTGAAAAAAAGTATATACAAAGACATGCAAATGGATCAATTAAATTCAAATTAACACAAGTGTTGATTTAAGTTCAAGAAGTTTTCAAATCAGTTATATCGAGAGGTCTTGCTCAAAATGGGAGCCGGGAGGTCATTGCATTGGAGCCGGTCTGCCGACCTTTATTTTCACTTTTCTAGGGGGGACACCTTCTTTGCCGACTTTTGAGGTCTCAGAAAGATTTGAGATCATTTGAGACCCAATTTATACTATTACGCTTATGGCAGTGAGTGCATGTAAAGACACCGACACCGGACATGCAAGCTTTCGCTCCATCCCTTTCAGCCCCGGCTGGGGCCACTAGTTTGCACGTGCGTTTACCGTCTAGTTTTTTCCTTATCTTGTCTTGTATTGTCTTGACCGTGCGTCAAAGAGACGATACTAAGCACCAGAAGATTCATCAATACGAGGAAGCCATGCAGTAGTTCATGTGAACTTGCAAGCGTGTCAACTTGAAGGTGCATTTGTTTCATTATGTGACCTGTCTCCACCGGTTCAACGGTCCAGCCGATCACCCTCTTCATCTCCAAACCCTGGAAATAACCGTCGTCTTGCGCCACGCTCTGGGAGCCGGTAGCGCACGGCGGCACGCTTGGCTAGGTCGTGTCACGCGCTGTCGCCGCCCGGCGAGGCGTTGGCCAAGTGTTCGTGACGTGACGTGACCGGTACCATCGGGAGGTGGCCGGGCCTACCGCCGGAGCTGCAGCGGGGAGCTGATCAAGACTCGGCATCGCGACGGTAGCAATGTGCAGTAGTCAATAAAAAGGTAGTGTTCTGGAAGACTGGGCAATGACTCATGACAAATTCTGATAAGTTGAGTTTTGAAAACTTTGAATGTAATGCATGACCTTTCGATAGACTATGACTATGACTATTGACTATGACTATGTAATGCATGACCTTTCGATGTTTTAGGTAAATGACTGAACAATAACATATTCGAGTCGAAGTTGCGTTCAAATTTAAGGACATTAAGCAATTGCATATACCTACATTTGTTGTCAAGATTTGCATAACTTCATATTGTATAGTTTGGCTTCACCTTGGGGATGGCCAAGTTGAACCTATACCAATGCCCCCGAAAACACCCGATCCACCACTGTTTACACCCTGAGCGAGACAGCAAGGGCGAAACCTGGGAGTTTGTGCACAGGGTCAAGAATATCAACCAGTACACGTTGTGCGGGGGCAGAGAACTGTTTGGTATTCCGCAGCCGGACAGCAGCACAAACGGCGGCGTTCGGTGTACGCCCAAAGGTCAGCGAGCCAAGGTCACACCCTCCCGACCCTCGCCGAAAGTGAGGGGCTCCTCACACGCAGCCGTCACCGATACCGCAAGATTGCCAATCGGTTTCCGGTGGGGCCTACTTCACTTTCCGCACGCTGTTGTTGACTCTTCGGAGGTTCAATTCACAGTGCAGAGTAGTTGGAGGTCACGTCGCTGCATCAAAAAACAAAATGGGGAAACAATAGCGTGATAGTGATGAGAGCCTTTAGGTATCGATTAATCTAGTCTCTAGTCTTCTAATGACGGATGATGCCCAGAAGACTTTGGTTTACTGCCATGCAGATATCGCCTATTCAAGACACACATAATGAAGATCCTAAGTAAAAATATGTAATAGTCGAATAGTTGCCCTCCTACGTGGAAACCTAATGCCTTGGTCATTTCTCGAATGATTCATCTAATGCCAAGACAATAATCACTCATTCGCTTTCTTTCGTTAACATACCGTCACTCCAGGCATCAGATAGATCCATCTCGACAAAGACGTCACCGTGAACTTCCGTCTTTTCCCACCGTTCCCCTCTCCTCTCCGGTTCCAGAACCGCAGTATAGTGAGAGTTGGAGTCGGGGAAGGGGAGGGGGACAATATCAATTATCAGCATAGGACCGTTTCCTCCCTCATCTGTGATCCATGGAGGAATCTCCGCACCACATGGCAAAAGAGGACCACCGTATCGAAGCTACTGGGAAGAGGAGCACCAACTGCCTGTTGAGAGTTACGGCCAGCCCATTGCTGAACCCTCTTGTCATGTATGTAGTTTTGGGGATGCGCAAAAAAGTGCTTATACAAAATGGGCGTCACTGCCATGGCGTGCACGCTTTTAAGGGACGCAGGAGTCGGAGTTGGAGTCGAAGTCACCAAAAGCCGTCAAGTCCGCAGACCTGGGAAAGCAGCCATGTGGGCACGTTGATCCGGTATTTACCAATGACGGGCGGTACCACACCCCATGTCCGCAGCATTATCGGCGCGGAATGAAGACACTCATTAGCTGATCCGCGACTGACCACCACCGAAATGGAGAATCTACTGCCAACCGCTATGACAACTGGCCGCAACCGCAGATTTTGCATCTGCTTGAGGTCCGAGAATCATGGAAGTAGCCCGGGAGGTGATATGCCACGGTTTTTGCTTTCGGCTGCGCGCGCCTCTTACCCAAAAGTATTATCGAACCATCGACAAAAAACGCAGAATCAGAGATATAGGATCTCAATCCGTGTGGTTTCATTGAATATTTATTGGCAAATACGAACTTCCAGAAATAGAGCGAGTCAATACTGCAGCGACCACCAGCTGACTGATCTTGCAATCAACTACATTTTTCGTGTGGTGGGAAAGTGAATGGTTAGTCCGTGGGCCGTGCTTTATAAAGATCTGCTTCCGGAGGCAGTAAACCTGTTTATGACTGTATCTTCAATTTGCAGACTTCACTGCAGTAGATTTGTTAAACTCCCAAGACACGACTTATTGGATTTCAGCAGACCAATTAAAAAACACACTAAAACTTTTTTAGGACGATCATAGAAATCAATGCATGTTGATCACAGTCTCTATAACTACCAAGCGTGTGTCCGGTGATTGTCGGTGCCTCTTTTTGCTGCCTAATCTGTAGCAGTAGGTCACTGGCACTGCGAAGTGTCATCTCCCAGACCTTCTCAGTCTGCCTCTTGGCGATGAGGCTGGTCGGACAGCCCTAAAACATCATCAGCATTCCAGACAGGTGTCGTTTAGCTCGTCTTTCAGCCACCTGTCGCCGGCTCTGGCCGAATTTCGGGACTGGCCGTGGTCGAGAGGGAGCTGCTGGCTCATTCAGTCATTCAGTTCACCCGGTACCTACTAAGCGGGACGGTCTCCCGGCTCAGTGGTGGGTGAATGGGAGCAGCGCCAACAGTTTGGGTCCTGGTCGACCCACCGAGGTTCTGACGCACGTGACACACTTATATGAGGTCCATGATCAAACAGCTCAGTTTCAAATGCCAGAAAAGTGTTTGGCGCTTCAACATCTTTAAAGGTAGTGTGCCACCTTCCAATGATTTCCCATTTTATTTTTCCTAGGATAAGAAACTTCTGTTTTTACCTAATATCGCAAAAAATCAAAAATGGGCCTAAAATAGTGCTTTTTTCGCCTAAAAGTTTATCGGTTTTTCGATATGTATAACAACTGTAGTGGGCTGACCTGCAAACAGGCGTCGGCAACAATCGCGAATGCGGCGCACATGTGACAATAAGCAAAGGTCATTATAGAGTTACGACGTACGGGAATGGGTTATCAGCTGTCTAATCGTAGACAACACAATGTCGAATAACACTGTAAGCCTGTATTGGTATTGTTTCTTTAACCCTCGCGGGCCCGAGGGGGGGGGGGCGTTTTTCGCCCCCCCCCTGGCGAATATTTGCGATAACTCCCGAACGCTTACGGATGGGAAGGCGAAACTTTCAGTACCTTTTCTCCCATCAATTTGACATCTTCTGTAATAAAAAAATCTGGACCTAGCCCCCTTGATGACGTCACAAGGTCCATTTTTCTAGACCCCTGCACGGCAAACTTCGGCGTCACAGACGCAAACTTCAAATAGCTGCTAAAAATAGAGTTTTAGAGATAAAGACAAATTACGAGCACGGCTGTATAGCGTTTGACCTAGAGAAAAATAGAAAAATAGTTTTGGTGACCTGAGGTCAGAGGTCAGGTCAACGACCCCGAAATGTGGTTTTAGGTTTTCGCAAATAACTTCGACAAAAATGGTCCTAGAGCTACGGCAGTGGTACCATCGCATTCGCCTCGTCAAGCCGCGTCGAATGATATATATTTTGATCGGAAAAGGTCAAGTTTCATGTTGACCTCATGTGACCTCGAATGACCTCTGGTTGACCTTGACACATGAATGGTCTTTTATGATGGATTTGTACCCGCTGATCACGAATCTGGCATCTATTTTCCTCTAAGCCTTCATTTAGAGCTTCCGGATGGCAAAATTGTCTTATTTATTATTACTAACTTGAATCAGTGAAATAGCCTCTAGCAGGGATACTCTTCTGTGACCTTGACCTTTGAGCAGCCTTGTATCGTAAGATGAACCACAAATAGGGAACTGATAAGCCTCAAAACATTTCAAAACATCTTGGGAGTTAGCACGCAAGATGTGCGAAAAAAGTGCCAAGTTTGAGGTCAATTTTGAGCGTGACCTTGACCTTGACCTTTGATTTGGAGCACATTTTCAGAATCCTCAGATTCTCTTCTTTCGTTTGACACCCAATTTTGCCGGTTTGATGCAGCCTGCCGTCCTCTAGAAGGCTTACTTTGAGATCACTACACATGTGCCGGTTTTGGCCTTTGACCTTGACCTCTGACCTTGAAAATTGACCTGAGGTCAAAAATTTTAGGTGCATTAGAATCGTCTCGTAAGGACCTTTCGTTTGGTATCGCTTTTGTTTCCGTAGCTCCCTTATTTACGGAGTTAGACAGGGGGGGGGGGCGAAAAACGCCCCCCCCCCAGGCTGCGGTGGTTGGGATTACCCCCCGGGCCCGGCCGGGTTAATTTGGCTGTCGAACATTAGGGGAAGCGGGGGTAACACCGCCCCCCTAAGCTTTTCGCCAAAATGAGAGAATATTTGTGTAGTCTCTTGGTAGTTATTGTCTTGGTTACAATATTTAAACATTTCCTCACGTGTTTTAGG